TCGATCATACCCATGATCAACGGTTGAGATTATTCATACTATACGATCAACAAGTACCTAACACGTTTCAACAATTATATATAAACTGACAATACATGAAACAATAAAATGACAACAAATTGAATGTTTACGTATCATAAATATAACATATGGTAAATTAATTGATAATACATAATAATAGTTTACGTAGCGTATGTCACAATTATATATTAATTCACTACAAAAGGAAATGCAAATTTACGACGAAAATTTTTCATCCCAAATCTTATTTTCTCTTGAAAAACAGAGTTGTGACGGAATTGTCAACGGACAAGCTATTCATTGCAAAGTATATGTCGCAACGACCACATGACGATATTCCGTTACAAAAAATCACTTGACAAAATTATTGATTTAATTTGCGGTAGATATCTCTGTTGGGAAGAATAAGTGCTCCATCAAAATTCCTTTGAACATCTATTCAAGGGCCAACTTCCGAAGCATAGTTATATCACAATTGTAACACCGTGCTGCCAACTGAATGTATGCGAAAAGTACAAAGTAGTAAATGAGACAAGGGTTTGTTTACCATGTTCGGATATAAACAATCCTACATTTGGGGATACCAATCTAGGAGAAGTTTACTAATCAGTGCTGATTAAGAACAAAGACAACCACAACTCCTTCAACTCAACCTCCTAACATGGTTTACCTTGGAAATTCCCTCCACAGGCTTTTGTTGTCACAAACTCGTGCTGACAACAACCACGGAGCAGAGCTGCTCAGAATCTGGATGCCTCCCCTGATCGGAACTCCGACTTCTTTCTCCAACAAGGTCTCCAGTGAATATAAGTGCCTAGCACTCACTCAATACATAGAAAAAAGAATGGTGTGGTTGAGAGAATTTAACTCACTTTCTCTCACTATACTCTACTCTCAAAACCTTTCAACTACCAACTCTCTCACTCCACACTTATCTATAAAGTCACATTGTTGTGCATGTAAGACAAAACCAATTAAAACCCCTTGCACATAAATGAAATGATGTATTCCTACATAATTCTGATGCAATTTGACCACCCAAAATATTTATTCAATTGTCTAAGACAAGCAATGTTGTTGTTAGCCTGTTGCAGCAACCCGATGAGACATCTTACTCCAAATGAAAACTGTAAAAGACAGTCGCAGGAAAGCAGGAAGAATCATATGCCAAAAATAGTTTGAGAAAATTATTTTCCAACAACCTCGATTGCAAAAATGACGACCAGAGGGCCGGCCATGGTATCTTGGTATCTTGGGACCGATGTTATTCCTCTAAAATTTCATAGGAAATTTCTGCGACAAAATTTGCAACGGGTAGTTGATGACTATCGTGTTTGATCTAGCAATGGATTTTCCTTCGCCATGTAAAGGATTGCTTTGCGTTGTGTATATAAATTCTGTCGCCAATTTCCGTCACTATCCGTGACAAAAATGAATCCATACCAAAATCCATCGCAAATAGTGACAGATCTATTCCATTAAAAAGAAAAAGAAAAAAACTCCTTCACTAGCTAATAGCATAATCACGACTTTTCTCATTCCGTCGCGAAATCTGTAGCAAATAGCAATGGAACTTACATTATTATCTAATCACAGTTCAATCAAAATATTCAATGAACTAACAAATGTGAATGCGATATTCGACAAGAACCAAAAATAAAAGCCATAAACATCGATTCGTAGTAAATAAGGGGAATAAATGCTCGAACTTAATTAGTTAACAAAAGGGATGGATTAAGACATACATTCACAATATATTCCAATCTTAGAATTGTAAATTTCCATGGGAGAATCAAGAATCTTTAGTCATTAGGGTTTGACAATATTTTTATTTTATTTTATTTTAAATATATATATATATATATATTTCCACAATACAATCTCATTGTTCCTAATTAAAACACGAAATATTACTTTCTACTACTATTTCACCTAAAAAAATATATATATATTAAAACATCCCAAACACAAAAAAGAACATACCCTTATGAACTTAAACTACGAGAATAAAAAACATGTGGATGGCAAGATATTTTCGAAAGATAAGTTTGTTCGAAAAAAAAAAAAAAATGATAAAATCAGATATGAAGCTAAAACTAGATTCGCCGAAGATGATTTGATTCTTTTGACTGGTTTCCACGCCTCCCTCATGCTCGATTTGGTTCCTTATCCGATAATGTTTTTTCTTTTTCCTCACTAAAATGTTGTTTGAGGTTCGCTTTGGGTGGTTAGAATAGATAACGAAAAGTACCGATGCAAAGAATATATGTTGCGAAATTTTAAAAAGTAGATCACAAAATATACGGAAAAAAATAACTCTCTTTAAAAATAAAAAATAAAAAATTGCCACAATGGCATATTCTCAGTTCAAAACTCATAGCTTGTTATTTCTCTTCGCGCCAAACCCAAATAACTACGACCAAACCTCGCTAGCAATTTTTTTGGGTCAAATAGAAAAATAAAATAAAATAAAAAACGTGTCGAAAATTGAAAACCGGGTACCAAAGTGAGAGCAAAAAGTGGCTCCAAAATGCATAAATGAAGCAAGTTGAGTGTTAAAAGGATTGGCAAAAAAGCAAAGACTGAAAATAAAAATAGATAGGCTCCACCATAGCCACATTCTTACAACCTCAGTGCTCTGTAAGAATATAAATCTATGAGAATCAATCACCAAATTCAATCATCTTCTTGTTTTTTTAATCATTCCTCTTTTGTTCCATTCCAATGCTCAAAAGAAGAAAAATAGAGAGGAAACACAAGATATTAATCGAACTCTATTCGCCGTCGAATTGAGTTTGTTCTTCGCCAAGAACGGCGATTATATTCGATCTTTTTCTTGACCAAAACTTCCATCCTATGTTCTTACAAGCATGAAAATCTCACAAATGTTTAGAATGTTCAAAAATTTTGAAATGTAAAAGGCCCTTTTGATTTTCTACAAGATAAAAGGAAAGTGAAATATATTATAAAACTTGTTCTACTTAACTTATACTTACTTTTTATTTAAATATCATATATAAATATAAATTTGGCACTACAATTTAAATAAAAACTCAAATATAATATTTATTTCAAATCAATTTCAAACTATAATAAAATAAATGTAAATGTTATTTTTGTTTTTTAATCGTATACTAACAACTTTACCATTACCATAAAATTACATATATACTAAGGATTAAACTTGTTCTTTAATAAATTCTCCAAGTTAGCCTTATATAAATTTTATCTTCAGATTAAAATATTATCACCTCAATCCCACTTGCATAGTCTTTAAAAGAAAAATTATAGTAAATTAATAATAAATAATATTCTTTTTATTAGTCAAATTTATAAATAGTTTATTAAACGCAAGAAGTATATTATATTATTAATAAGTAAATTTATGTAAAAATAAAAAGTCAACATGTTTAGCTGAGTCAAAAGTAAATATGACATGATATTTTGATAAATAGATATAAGAATGATAAATAAATTGATGAATATATAAATGGAAACCACACACATATATATATATATATATATTGTAAATAAACATAAACTATTTAACTATTTAGGCGAGATAATTCTAAATGGTAAGTAACACTATTCAAATGAAATAGAAAAAAAATATATATTTTTTAATTAATATCCATATGTAACTATACAAGCATAAATTTGATGGACAGATACGACGGTGTAATAATGGACCAAAAAGAAACAAAGAATGAATGAAGTGGTGGCTTAGGACATGAACTGACATGAATATAATGTAAGAATCCATTTGCATAAAACTATAAACAAATCGAAACTAATTGAACCAAAAGTGCAAAGGTGGGAAGCACTATCATTGCCCTACCAAGAAATAGAAGAAAATTTTTACACTCCCCTCTTTGTTTTCATCGATCAAAACCCGACTCTAAAATATCATATCAAATAATTATTATCCCAGTATAATATTATTACCACTAACCATACTCTCAAAAGAACTCTAGGATCCTAGGATCCTACCATATGTGGTACTAACTTTACCTTTTTCACCAAACTTTATATATAGGTAAAAAGTTCAATAAGTTTCTCCCAACCAAATCTATACACTTGTAATTTTCTCTTCTATTTTTTCGTTGATAAAAAAAAATTATATTGCGCACTTTTGCCAACGGCGTATCTCTTGAATCCCACCAACAAAAACACCCAATAGTCGAAAGGGATTAAGAAAAATCGAAACGATGAGGAGATAAGTGTAGATTTGTACGGCTCAATTTTTTTACTATGCAATATCTTTGTTTTCAATAAAAGTAAATTTATTTTCGATTTAAAACAATAAATTAACAACAAAACCCACAAAATACAAACCTATGCTGTCAATACTATTTTTATGCATAGCTCAGTTAAAAAATAAAAAGAAAAAGAAATACTACTTACACGATCGAAATTATATTTTTCAGCTCAAAAATATTAAAAGAAAGTCGCGATCATAACTTTTAGTAACAGTACTATTTCTACACAGAGTTCAGTTAAAAAATAAAAATAAAACGAAGCTACTTATACGCCCAAAATTATATTTGTCCGCTAAAAAAATTAAAAGAAAGTCGTGATCGTAACCTATATTATTAGTACTATTTCTATACAGAGTTCAGTTAAAAAAAAAAAAAAAAAATGGTACTTACACTACCAAAATTATATTTTTATACTAAAAAAAATTGAAAGAAAGCCACAATCCTAACCTACATCAGTACTATTTTTATACAAAGTTCACTTAAAAAAAAAAACGCTACTTAAACGGCCAAAATTATATGTTTCCTCTAAAAACGACTAAAAGAAAGCCGCGATCGTCGAGTCGAAGAACTTTAGCACGTGCGAGAACCTTGTGTGTGTGCCTATATATATATGTATGTATATATTTTTGCAGCAATCAGTTCATTGTAGGAGTTGGAAGTTTTTTTAGCAGCAGCTTCAGAGCTCTCTATCTTCTCCCTTATACAAAAATTTTTTCGCAGTTTCGACGAATTTTTTCTGACGATGCCCCTCAGTTCTGTAGCTCCAAAACCAGACAACAATGGCGGCACTGAAATGGCCATGAATCAGACGAAGAAGATGGAGGATTCTAACACTAACACTTCTTACCAGAATTACTGTCTGCAGATGAACTCTCACAGCTTCTTACAGCACTCTTTATACCCCATAGTTCTAAAGGTCTTCCTCTCTCTCTCTATAATCGCTCTCTCTCTCTCTCTCACTCTTCGTCGTCGTAGTCGCGAATTCGATCGACGATTAATTCGATCTTTTTTTTATCGAACTAATTATAGTCGTGGGTTTGCAGTTCGAAGAAATCGTTTATAAGGTGAGCTGTGGAAGAGCATCGAGCGGGAACGAAAAAACGATCCTCGACGGCGTCACCGGGATGGTCTGTCCCGGCGAGATACTCGCAATGCTCGGCCCGTCGGGCAGCGGGAAAACGACGCTGCTGACGGCGCTCGGTGGCCGTCTCTCGGGCAGGCTCTCGGGCAAGATCAGTTACAACGGGCAGCCGTTCTGCGGCGTGGTGAAGCGTCGAACAGGGTTCGTCGCGCAGGACGACGTTCTGTATCCGCACCTGACGGTGTTCGAGACTCTGTTTTTTACCGCCCTTCTGAGGCTCCCGAAAAGTCTGACGAAAGACGAGAAATCGAAGCTCGTCGAGCACGTGATCGTCGAGCTCGGGCTGACGCGATGCAAGTTTAGCATGATCGGAGGCCCGACGTTTCGGGGGATTTCCGGCGGGGAGAAAAAGCGGGTTAGCATAGGCCAAGAAATGCTCATAAATCCGAGCTTGCTGCTGCTTGACGAGCCGACGTCAGGGCTCGACTCGACGGCGGCGCAACGAATTATGACGACGCTGAAAGGGCTGGCGGGCGGCGGCCGGACGATCATCACGACTATACATCAGCCGTCGAGCCGGCTTTACTACATGTTCGATAAGGTTGTCTTGCTGTCCGAAGGCTCACCTATTTACTACGGCCTCGCATCGACGGCTCTCGATTACTTCTCGTCGATCGGGTTTTCGACTCCCTTCACCGTGAATCCCGCCGATCTCTTGCTCGATCTCGCTAACGGTAATCGAATTTTCTCGTAAAATTCGTCGCGATTACGTCCCGAACCTCGGATTAACGAATCTCTGACAGGGATCGGACCCGAACAAGGCGTCGAGAACGGCGACAGCCCTCAGAAGGATCCGTCTGATGTAAGAGCGACGTTGATGTCTGCTTACGACAAGAAAATTTCGACGAGGCTGAAGATCGAGCTCTGCAGCTCCGATCTCGGGAGCTTTAATTACAAAGAGACGACGTCAAGTAAGCGTTTTTCTTACAGTTTATCGCGACGCGCAAAATTATGACGCTCTTATGTCCTAAAACTTGAATTCTCGACATTCTTTCGATAGGGATCGAAGCGACATCGGAAAAATGGTGCACAACTTGGTGGTATCAGTTCAAGATTCTTCTTCTCCGGGGGCTTCGAGAACGACGATTCGAAGCCTTCAACAAGTTACGAATCTTCCAAGTCCTAAGCGTTGCGATTCTCAGCGGGCTTCTATGGTGGCGCACACCGTCATCGCACATTGACGATCGAGTAAGTCGATCGGCGATTGTCGATTTCCCTAATTTCCGTATCGATTCGATCATCCGTATCGAACTATTCGCTCGACTTACTTACTATTCGTTGTCTTTTTGCAGATCGCGATGCTATTCTTCTACTCGGTTTTTTGGGGGTTCTACCCGCTCTACAACGCCGTTTTTACGTTCCCACAAGAACGGATGACGCTAATCAAGGAGCGATCGTCGGGAATGTACCGCCTCTCGGCTTATTTTCTCGCGAGAACGGCGGGGGATCTTCCGTTAGAGCTTGCGCTCCCGACGGCGTTTACGTTCATCTTTTATTGGATGGGCGGGCTTAAACCCGACCCGTCGACATTCATCCTCTCTCTTCTCGCCGTTCTTTTTAGCGTTCTCGTCGCGCAAAGTCTCGGCCTCGCGTTCGGGGCGATACTAATGGATGTCAAGCAAGCTGCGACTTTAGCCTCCGTGACGACTCTCGTATTCCTCATCGCTGGGGGTTATTACGTTCGACAAATCCCGCCGTTCATCGTGTGGCTAAAGTATCTCAGCTACAGCTACTATTGCTACAAGCTTCTACTCGGGATTCAATACGACGACGACGACTACTACGAATGCGCGAAAAACGCGTTTTGCCGCGTCGCCGAGTATCCTCCCGTCAAATCCGTCGGTTTATCGAATCTTTGGATCGATACTTCGATTATGCTACTAATGTTGGTCGGGTACCGGTTTCTCGCGTACATTGCCTTGCAACGGGTACGATGAATGAATAATCGACGGATAATCGGTTCCTCGCGACGACAAGAAAGAAAAGTTTTTACCAATTTTTTTTTTTGTTTCTTCGGCCGAGAAATAAACGTCGAACATCGCTAAAAGCTTCGTGTAACGATATATATGGTGCACACTTTTCAAACCACATATTCTGAATAACAAACATATGTTAGAATGTCGTAAGAGGACAACAAGAACTGCAGATTGTGAAGGTTTTTTAGCAGAAAAACGATAAGATAAAATCATGATCATGTAGTTGAGGATCTAAGTGGGACAATGAATCCACAAATCGAAATTTTTTAGATTAATCAAACATCTGCAAATAATTAATTGACTAAGAACAATATATATATATATATATATAATTAAAATATGAACAAACAAAGAGCACTCTTTACGAAACTGAACGATCGAAGAAGGGCACGATAGTGACCTTAGGTGAGCAGATAATGAATTTTTTTTCGATTTGGATGATCCACAACTATATATATGGGTCACTCACTCTTTAATTTCTTTTTATTTTATTTAAATTTTTTAATAAAGTAAGAATCCGCACTTGCTACTTGTTGAATAGACTCTGAGTAAATTTTCGGCCGAACAAATAATTCAATATTTCAAGCAAGTTTTGGGTGACAAACTCGATTGAATAGATGTATGTGAAATTTGAATCAATGAACTATGGTCATCAAACAAAATATTACACAAACTATTTTAGGCAAGATCTAGGTGACAAGCTCGATTGACAAGATAGTATGTTAAATTCGAACTAGTGACTCTACGGTCACTAGATAAAATATTACACTGAAACTACGTAAGTTCTTGTGAGTCGAGCATAATAGCTAGTTGGGAAAACCACTATAGGCAAACTATGGATGATATGTTCGATCGAGAAGATATGGACAATATATTACACCAATACCACATCAGTTGGAAAGTTACTTCTTGTGAGCCGAGCGTAATAGTTAGTCAGGAAAACCATTTTAGACAAATTTTGTATGATAAACTCGATTGATAAGAAAGGTAGTGAAATTCAAATTAGTAATCTTATAGTCACAAGACAAAATATTACACCAAAACCACGTCAATTCTTGCGAGCCTAGCATAATAGCTAGTCGGAAAACCACTTTAGGCAAACTATGGATGATATGTTCGATCAAGAATATGTCTATGAAATTTGAATCAATGACCGCAACAAAATATTAAATTTAAAATTTAAAATTTGATTCAAGTTTTTTGAACTTTTAATTTAATCATATACTAAAATTTGAAATTTCGGATTAATTCAGATTTTGTAATTCAAATATCAAATTTCAAATTTCAAATAATAATAATAATACTCCCTCTGTCCCATAACAAAATATCTATTTTTTCATTTTAGTCCGTACCATAACAAAATATCCATTTCCTTATTTAGTAATTGTATTATCTACCTAACATTACAAATACCCTTACAACTTACAATATATTACACAAATGTCGTTACCTTTATATCACACATACTAATAAGATTATTTTAGTTATTTCTACTTTATTCCTACTATATCCCAATATAATACTAATATTTTTAAAACTACGTGCAAAAAGTAAATAGATACTTCTTTATGGGACGGTGGAAGTAATAATAATGATGATGATGTGGGGTGTGTGATTCTGATGGGTTGTGGTGGGTTAATGGCTGCTGCTTTATTTTGCATCATTTGTGCACAACATAAAACAACAAACAACTTATGGTGCCTGATTCAACAAACCACAATTCATTACTATTATATACTACTGCTTACTTGATACATAATAAAATAAAATAAATACCAACAACATTCACTACAAAGAAATAATATATTTGTAACGGAATTTCGTTCCTAAAGTTCACGTAGCTAACGTAATTTCATTCCTAATTCTGTTTCTAATGTCATTAGTAACAGAAAAAGTATTCAGAAACAAAAATATTTTATTACAAAATGATTTTTTCTTGCAGTGATTAAAGGTTTGTTCACATTAACAAAATATGTATAGTACGACGGGTTAGGTGTCACGCTGATTTGACCAAATCACCACATTAACAATTAATTAAAATTATCATACTCCACATAGCTAAGTTACAATATTAACATGTTATATAATATCCTATATATTATTATATTAATATTTACTATTTTTTTTTATAGATATTTGTTTTTTAGATCAAACTTTATTGCGCTGATATTAAAATATATTTTTACTAAAATCACTATATATTTTGCTAGATATAATTATAGAATTGTGCTATTTAAATAAATGTTATACTATATTAATATTTACTATTTTTTTTTATAGATATTTGCTAATTCCATCAATAACTTTATGACTTTTTTGTAATGAGTATTTAACATTTATTTTGACATTTTAACTTTTATAAAAAAAATTGTGTATTGTTTATTATTATTTTTGGAAATTGCAATTAAAAATTTGTTAGGAAAAAATAAAACAACTAACCTGTATGTAAAAAAAATTAACTTTTTCCCCTTTAATATTTTTTTTACTTTCTTTTCTTTTTTTTTTTTTTTTTTTTTTTGTAACGGTCTTTATATTTGTCTACAACACACAAATTACTGGCAAGCAAAAAGTAATAAATAATATAAAAAATATTAATATAATACAAATATGATATATATATATATATAAACTAATAATATACAACGATAACAATACATTATAACGGGTCGATGACACTTATGTAGGCATATGTTTAGAAAATAAAGATTTGTTACCCAACTATACGAAAAAAAAAAGCAAACCGCAAGCCCAATACGACACCACGCCTTTTAGGTATAACGTAAAAAACGCAAATATATGTAAAGACTTGTATAAGTAGAACTTAGTAAGCAACAATTCGAATAAAATTGTAAAAAATATCTTACATGAATATTTTATTATCATGTGTTTATCCTACGTGTTTGCAAAAATCGCTATTTACACCTCGCGCGGCCAAATGACAGAAATAACGTCTTTTGTAAACATGTAGGACATATTTTGTCAGCAATATAAATGCATGACAAAAGTGATAATAATATTTTGTCATTTTCCCCGGCAATTTAGTTTAATTTCCAAGTTCAAAACTTTATGACAAATATTTCGTATATTTAAGCTAAAACATGAGTATTGTAATGTACATTAACCGGGAATTGTTAGGGTGCTGATGGAGATTAATCAGTACCGTGCTGACAATACATGAAATATAGACCGCCCTTACATGATTTGAATAAATACAATAATATGTTTGAGATCAATAGTAGTATACGTTATCAATTTATATAATGCATTTGTATTATATTAATATATTGTACTCTCAGACCAATCGATATATATTATGTGCTATTGGTCTATATTTCATTTGCTATCGGCTCGGCACCAATTAATCTCAATCAGCGCCATAACCACCGAAGCTTGATCGGAGGTGAAAATTCAAATCTTGATTCAACTTGATCAATAACCCGATTATTTAGACAAGATTTCTAAATCAAACATAGCATCTAAACTCAACCTTATATTCGAAGAATCTCATCTAAAACCGCAAGCATATATCCGAATCAAGAACACTACTTTATCAACCAATAACAGAAGTAGCAAGATCAAACTCACCCGCGGCCATGGAGATCACACTTTTTCATTTGTCGAACTCCCAGATCACACCTCCATCCTCTGCACACACCATCAAAAGATCAAACGCCATTGATAATTGGATCCAATTTACTCGAGTGAAGAAGAAATCAATGTGTTAGATACCTGCAACTTTTTTGTTTATCCAAATTTCTGTGAGCATTCCTGCGCCGATTCCGGCAGCAATGAATGATCCGTAGAACAACGTTGCAGATAGTCGAGACATCCGAGGGAGAAAATAGTAATCTGGAATTTGCCGCACCTTCTTTGGCAACCGTTTCTTCACAGCTGCTCCTTCAGTGGATTCACTGCTTCCTGAATCTCCTATGCTCTTCCATTCGAACGCTTTGGACGCATCTTTGTTCTCCGTTCCCATGGCGGAACTGGAAAGGACCTCAATTCTGCTGCAGATTCAATGAAACAGAATTACAAAAATTCCAAATGAGGAATACAAAATTGTAGATTACGACACATCGAGGTTTCTACTAAGGCGAGGCGAAACCAAAACATCAAATCACGACACGATGCCGACAAATAAATTAATCAAACAACAATTAGGAGCGTGAATCAGTTTAAATTTGACCGGTAAGAAGCGATTTGCACAGAAAATTATCCGAAACGGCAAAAAAATCGGCGAAATCTTAACGAACTTTCCGATTCGTCGAATTAAACGTCCAAAACAGCAGAGACGACAAAATTCCAGAAAATGTCTTAAAAAAAATCTCACAGCTTCTTCTCTTTTCAGCCATTAAAGGAAAAGAGAGCTTACAGGTATTTTGAGGCGGAGGTTACGAAACCGCGCGGAAACGAACAGAATGTTGCGGCGCCGACGGCGACGGCGACGGCGAGTGGAGTCGGTGTATAGTGGGAGCTAGGGATTTTCAGGTCTTTGCGCTTGAAGAAATAGGGATCGTACCCGACCCGACCCGTTTTAAATTTGTGTACGGCGTAAATAAGAGTGGGCCGGATTACAAAACCCAAATTATTTGATAGGCTAATCCAAATATTTAAAAAAAAAAAAAAATTGAAAAACAATAAGGAAATTATAATTATGATTTTAAAAGGATAATATCATTCAATTTTATTTTATTTTATTTTTACATTTTTAATGAGTTATACTAAATATATTGAAATATATATATTTCCTCCTTACGATTCTAACATATACGAGAAAATTGACAAGAAAGACATGATTTTGTGAGACGATGTTTGTATCTATGATATTAATGGTGTGTTTGTTTGGGGGTTTGAATTTTGAGGTGAGATTTGAATAGTAAAAATTTTAAATTTGAATAATTGTATGATGTGATATAAATAGGTGTTGATGTGATGCTTTAAATGTAAAATTGATTTTTAGTATAATATAAAAAATAAAAAATAGATGTTTGATTTGATATTTTTGGAAGGAAAAAATGGAATGAATTGTGGAAATAAAATTCAATCCCCAAAACAAACACACCCTAAGAGAAAATTGACAATTAAGGTACGATTTTTTCAATTTTATTTCTATCAAATATCTTCATCAATTTAGATATTTTTTTG